TATTAAAAAATAATATTTCATTAAGGGAGATGTATATTATATGCGATACTATGTATAAATACGATTAATACTTAATATTGATTGTAAAATCATACTAATAAGATTTCTGTAATTTAAATAAATGTTTTGTTTTATTTGAAAGCTTTCGAATTATCTCTTTATTTTATCTCATATGAATATAATATAAATACAATGACATTTTTCTTGTTTGTACTTCATATAATTATTTCGGCATGAATTGATTATTATAAATACTTTTGATATAGAATAAAAATAACAAATTTAAATTTTTATATAAAATTTGCGTATCATATAGGACTTTATGTTTAACCTCTATTTTATTAAATGTTGATTTCTCAATTCCAACATTTGAAACAAATTCGGATTAACTGTTTATGTAATTTTTATTAGATTTACAAACACATAACAAAATATTATATTTTTAATAGTCAATTTATCATTATCGAATATAAATAAATAAATTAATATAATTGCATTTTTAGATACATACTTGATTTCAATAAATATTTTTTATCATTCTGATCGACAATAATGTGTAATTGAATGATATGATAAAATTGATCAAAATTAAATTAAAAAATTCCGATGTTTTTTTGATATGATGAATAATAAAAAATCATGCATACATACATATATGGAATGTATTTATAAGCATTATGAACATTTTCATATTTACTCATTTAAATTCATTTTTTATTTCGGACTTGTAGTTGTTTTCCGAAGTTCACTTTATAAGACTTTATCTACGTTTTAAGATATTTTTTAAAACAAGATGTATGTATCGTTTGAAGATTTTATTATATTAATAATTGAAAAATATTTTTAAACAAAAAATGTTTTTGCATAACCGACTATAACTTATGATGGTTTTTCTATGGTGTTAAAAGTTTGTATTATTTTATTAAATAATTTGCTGTGTATTCTGTATCACGTGCAGAATGATTTTTAAATGCCTGATTATTGCTATATATTTTCAAATTGACAAATCTGCAGTCAAAATAACATAAATAAATATTTGCGCTGTTTTAAAATTTTGCACTGTCTTTATGTGAATTAAAAATTTGTTTATATGTATATATATTTTATGTAATAATTATTCCTCGTATGGAAATTTTCAATAGTTTATTAGAATGAAATTCAATTCACTTCTATTTTATTGATCTGCAGGTACAAAACACATATATATGTTATTTTATTAGGAATTCACCCCGTCTTTCAAGACAGTAATCTCACGACATTTTCTCTCAAAGTTTCCGGGACTTCTAGTTAGAGATAAAATTTATGATAGGTACAATTATTCAATCGATATCTCAATACCTTCAATTACGTTCTCACCCTAGAAATTTTCTACCCTTCAGATATAATTTTGCTTCTTCGATACTAATTCGAAGCTAAAATAGTTAAGAAAATAACGACAAAATGTTAGGAAAAGTATGTCTTTTGCTGAATTGTTTGTTAATAATAATAGCCTTCAAATTTTAATAATGATTTATAAATATAATTTTTTATGTGAAATTAAATGGAAAAATTTATGTATTTATTGAATTTAAACTGAAATACAAGAAAATACTTCTACTTTAGAAAAACAAAATCATAAATAATATTAACTATCCAGAAAAACTGCTTGCCTAGTTTTGTTTAATTTATTTGAGTGTAATTATTTTTGTATTGTCCATTTGAGAACGTTTATTTTAAAACCTTATTTAACACTGGCAATCTACACATTATTTTAAGTGTGAACTGATTTGTCGTGAATTAAATTTGATACGCAAAACATTATTTTTATTATTAATCAATATTACTGCAAAATTGTTATTTGAGTTGTATTGATATACTTGCTCAGAAACCAGCATTAGCAAAATTATTTTGAATAATAACTGAAATCATCAAGCCAGTTGCGTAACTATTATAATTTTTTGCATTATACCTGAATATTATTTTACTTTTCTTGAAAAATATATTTTATGGTTTAATATATATATATATATATATATATTAGATTTATAAATTATAAATTTTTCTTAAAGTCCAAAGTGAGACTAAAACCATAATACAAGTTCAAGTTAATAATAAATCGTTTCAACACATTCCAAACAAAGGGTTTTGATTCATTTTAGAATACATTTATTGGTTATTATATAATTAATACATAATATATAAGTTATACATTTTGATGGTCCATTTATCTTATTTTACATTTCGATTTTTACGAAAAATAAAACTTTATGTATCGTTTATTCTCTTCGTTTAACCATAACTCAATTGTGAAATAATTTTATCTGTAAATTAATATTTTTCTTGTTTTTTGTACGTTTTGTATAATCTGTTAAAATATGAATTAGTGAAAGTTGTTTTGCTCATTTGTAATATAATACATTAAAAATTGCTTTGGCCAGTAGTGAAATAGCGTGCAATTGAGTGCGTTGAAAAATCTCGAGCTTATTGAAAAAAACTAAATAAAATAAAAATTTAGTACTGCGATAGGGCCCCATATAAAGAAATATCCACGGGCGCCGGAGGGTCTAGTTACGCCACTGCATCAAGGCAATAATTATTAAAATTTATTCTGCTTTTATTGATTTCTGAACATAACCTGAAATTTCTATAATATATTTTTTAAATAAATAAGACATATTTTCATTTAGTTTATTTTTAAATTAACGAGTCTTATATATTACTGTTATTTACAAGTTCATTTATTATTAATTTACTTCACATCCTGCATTTTCAGGATAGTCGCAAACAAGAGTTGTAGGACTGAAATGCAAACCAGCTGGGCAGTTTTGTTTGATTTGTTTGCCTCCAATGCATTGGTAAAAGCTTCCGCAATCTGTGGGATTTGGGTATAATTTACCTTCTTCTGTGCAGGCTGAAAGTTATTTTATTTAGTTATTAATAATGTCTAATAATATATAATAACACATAATTTATAGAAAAGAATGAAATTATCTTACCACCGGGTTGTGTTGGCTTAGAAGTAGTTGGTTTAGAGGTAGTTTCTGGTGGGTTGGTCTGTGGTGGCTTAGTTCCTGGTTCTGTTGGGACTGGAGCAGATGTTGTTCCTGGGGGTTTGGCACATTCTACATTTTCTGGAAAATCGCACCATTTCATAAAATCATTCCACAAGTAATTTCCGTCGCATTTCTTGTGCACAGCGTAGCCTTTAGCGCATAAGTAATATTTGGAACAATCTTGATAGTCGGGAAGAAGCACATTGTCTAATCCTGAGCATACAGAAGGTGGTGGTGGATGAGGGTTGAATCTGCTGCCACAATCTACATTGTAGGGAAAGTCGCACCATTTGTTTTCATCCTTCCATAAATAGTCTTTCTCGCATTGTTTTAAAATACCAGCGCCGTTGGCGCATTGGTAGTATCGGCTACAGTTTTCCGGATCAGCTACGTAAACGCCATTGGGCTGGTTCTTGCATAAAGCATTGACGTATGCCAGGCAAAGCCAAAGAACTAATAAAACAGCACCTGTAACAAATCATTTATAATGTACTAAAATAATTTTATTCAAAAAGCACAGTATTTAAATCCCATGGTTATATCTCACAATAATTGATGATATCCATATATCTTAAATAACTTACTTTTCATGATAAAACCTATTTCTTGCCACTGACTATAATGACAAATTACAAAATCATTGGCAGTATATAGCTTTTATATGATGTCTGCTTCTGAATTACTTATCTGTTTGCTCATAGCACGATTAAACTCCAGATATAAATCAGTCATTTAATCAAAATCTTCAAAGCACATGCGGAGTAATTATCTTTCAATTTAGAATTTATCACGGATTTGTAATTAGTCGTCACATGTAAAAAATAATTTTATCAGATGAATGATAAATAAAAATATATTAGCAAATTCGGGTAATTTAATAATCGATTCTGATCATAGTCCTATAATTTGATACCATAACTTATTACAAATCATATAGCCTATTGCATTTTTTGCACAAGATTTTTTATTAACTTATATTGGCTCTTGATTACATTTATCGAATTTTATGCCAAATTTAATTATATCTTCGCCCATTACACTATATGCCCAAGACATGTTTTCTGAGCTGTGATATATTCCAATTTCTCCACAGCGGCTTACAGAAATTGCACCTACCCCAACGTTTAACTTTTTAGTTAATGCATCTATGGAACATTTTGTAGCTTCTTGAGTGCTAATGCGATCATCAGATGATTGTTGCATAGCCAGTATTATACGATGGGCCAAGCAAAACTTTATTATGGATTCACCATGACCTGTTGCAGATACAGCTCCAACATTATCATCGGCATAAGTACCTGAACCGATTTGTGCTGTATCACCCACTCTTCCTCGTAATTTGCCAATTAAGCCTCCTGTAGACGTTGCTGCAACAACATGGCCAAATTTATCCAATGCAACTGCTCCAACTGTGCCACAATTGTCTTTGTCAATTTCAGATTTAATTTTTTTGTATTTTTCTAATTTGTTTCTTGCATTTTCCGTAACTAAGCTGCCATCTGGTAAAAGTTCAAAACCTTCAAGTTCGGCAAATTTTGAAGCCCCTTCGCCAATCAATAATACATGAGAAGATTTTTCCATAACTTTTCTGGCTATTGAAATAGGGTTGGCAAAATTTTTAATACAACCCACTGCTCCAGCTTCTAACATTTCACCATGCATTATACTGGCGTCCATTTCTACATTTCCTTCAATGGAAAGTACAGAACCGTAACCAGCATTAAATTTTTCGTTATCTTCCATGAATTGAACCGCAGCTTCAGTTGCATCAATGGCATTTCCACCATTCTTTAAGACATTTATAGCTGCTCGAACGGCACTTTTGACACCTGTTAAAATATCAGGAACACTATCCTTATTAATTTTACCGGCACCACCATGAACCAGAATCAGCGGCCGGGTGCTTTCAGAGGCGGCAGGTTTACGACTACAATGACAAAGGTTGGACGTTGCTGGTAAGGATTGCATTGCCTTGATTCCCGTTCTGAATTGACAATTCATGATTTTTTGAACGATTGTGTATTGTTTATTTTATTTATTGCGTTTCGATAATATTTATAATATTATCAGCACGGAATGATTTCTTACTTACTTTCTTATAGCTAATGAATCTACCCATATGAGGTTGCAATGTTTCTATTCTGGTAATCGATAAGCTCTTTTATATAATAAAGAAATTGGACAAAATGATATATCTAAGTTATTTTGGTTCAATTGACGGATGATGAATTATTGCGACCAACAGTCAACTTTTTGTATGGCCAGCGTCGGTCCAAAAAACTGGCACCAGAGTTTTCTTTTGGAAGGTTTGTATAATCGACAGGAAAATTTAAAATTAGTGTTGACGAAATGCTATCAAATATACTTTTAATGATGTTTTATTGAAACATTCTAAGCAAAAATGTGTAAAATGGTAAACGTTGATATCACTGCCGGCTGAACGGAAAGGAATTTTGGCACCGGGCTCAACGTGTTAAATAAAATTCCTTCTGTGAAAAATGTAAAAGTAAATCGATACTATTTTAATGTAAAAATTATAACAAGAAGAATATTGCATAGAATAAATATAATGTTGCATAGAATATATTATAATATTTATAATATTTCACTTTGTGAGAAACCATTCATATACTTATATTTTATTTACATATTAATTAAGTTTATTTATTTTTAATCATGTCTGCTATATCTAAATATATCAAAGCTATTATTTTTTTCTATAAAATTTTTAATTTTCAATAACAGAGTATGATCAATAACATACTATTAATTAATTATGTGAGGATTAAAATATTAAACGATTACTACTGAATTTCATAGGGTATACATGAATCATGTCGAAACAAACAATTAATTTTAAAAATCAATAAATTTTCAGGTTTAATTATTGATAATTTGTATGTGTTAATGGTTATTGAATACTTATCATTTGTTTTGAAAAGTTTACAACCTCGATGAAATTTGATTTAATGTCATAACTAATTGATAACATTTTTCTTTCTAACGATTGACTTGTCACAAATTAATATCTATTATTAAATCTGATGTGATTTTTTAAATCAATGGAATATATTTAAGAATATATTTACGAGTTTAATTACAGTATATTGATGTTATGGCATGAATAGATGTTATTACATTATAAACAAACTCAAAATATGTTTAATTATAATAATAATATATTACATGGTTTATTTATTGTTTTTCTTGATAATATTGAAGTGTGCAGTGACTCCGTTAATATTATTCTGTTATATTTTTTTAATAACATATTTTATTTCAAGAAATATAATTAACAAACATAATACGAACGCAATGCAAAATTTGATAATATTGTTAATATAAAGATTCGTAAACGAGCTGAAAGTGTAAGAAAAATATGCTCTTCAGATCTCGAGCACTCTTAAGATGACGAACTTATGCACTTCCAGAAACGCCAAAAAAACTGAACTAGCGACGCATGACATTGTGCCTTAAGGCAAGTTACCTAAACTTTCCATGCTGAAAATTACATTTTATAAAGAGCTTTAAAATTTTTTGAAAAATGAAAAAAAGTGAATTTATATTTTGAATGTTTTTGAAAACTATAAACTTTTATTTTTTAAATTTATTAGAATTGAATTTTATTTGAATATAACAATTCCTATTGATAACGAGACGTGCTGATTAGTTATTGTCCAAGGCAGGTCCAACTTTCGAAAATACGGGCCGAAATGCCAAAAATGATAATTCAGATTTGAGAAACGGAACGTCCAATATCATTAAAATGTATGTACTATAGACAAAATGAAGAACTGCTTAAATTTGTGGGAGGCAATTCTAGCGGTTTCGGTGATCATATAAAAAATTTCGAGATTTGAAAAAATCATTTGGCGGTCAAAAGTGATTATTAGATACATGTATATTATCAGATATTTTAATAATAAGTATAAATTTTGTTTACATATCTATGGGTTCTGTAACATTGTTTATTCGTTATACTAGTGCGACGCGACGCTTACGCGCTTCTATATTTTGACCTTACGCAAGCCAAAGCAGCGTGATCTCAAATTTTTCAAAAAAGTCAAATTTTTTCAAAGTTTTCAAAATATTTTAATTTTTTTTTTTAATTGTCGCTACGGGAAGTTCCAGCAATTTGCCTTAAGGCGCGATGCTAAGCACTATTTATAGTATGTAATGCGTAATGAATTTTAAATGAATATAAAATGAATTTTTATATAAAAACTATTTAAGTAAAAATCCAGAAATGGGACGGCATTTTTGTCAGTGCCCCAGGGCGCTCAATTTCTAAATTCGGCGCTGCCTGCACCACAATAGTTATTCATAAAGTCTGTAATTCACACATATAGTCCAGTCATTTGGTGCAAAAAAAGGCTGTTGCCGGTACAGTACTTCGGGAATTCTGAAAATTGGTAATTTTATAGATTTCGAGGTGCTCTTTACGAAAATCAACTTTGCCACCTCAAATTTGAACGGCAAGTTGCCGCCATATTAGAAAAATAGCGTCAAAAAACAGTTTTTTTTAAATATCTCCTTTCTGGCTGACTCTGCGATAAAAGTATCTATGTACGAATTAAACTAGAGAAAATTTCCTACAATTTCTTATAAAACCTTTTTTTTTGTAAAATTGATAGTTTGAGAGTACGGCCGCCTCAAAGTCTTTGCTGCTCTCGCCGTAGTATCAAATCTGTCCATATATGACAGCACTTCGAACTTGACCACATTCTCTCTAATAATTAATATTTATATATTAAATTAAGCGAATAAAATCTAGAAATAAAATAATTCAAATATTTTTTAACACTTCAATGGCAAAGTAGCTATAAGTATACTTATAGCTTGAGTAGCACCTTTATAGCTTCAAGTAGCTTGAAGCGTTAAAAAATCAGCAAAAAAACAGAAAAATATTTGAATTATTTTATTTCTAGATCTTATTCGCTTAATTTAACATTGAAAATATTAATTATTAGAGAGAATGTGGTCAAGTTCGAAGTGCTGTCATATATGGACAGATATGATACTACGGCGAGAGCAGCGAAGACTTCGAGGCGGCCGTACTCTCAAACTATCAATTTTACAAAAAAAAACGGTTTTCTAAGGAATTGTAGGAAATTTTCTGTAGTTTAATTCGTACATATATACTTTCATCGTAGAATGAGCCAGAAAGAAGATATTTTAAAAAAGCTGTTTTTTGACGCCATTTTTTCAATATGGCGGCAACTTGCCGTTCAAATTTGAGGTGGCAAAGTTGATTTTCGTAAAGAGCACCTCGAAATCTATAAGATTACCAATTTTCAGAATTCCCGGAGTACTGTACCGGCAAAACGACCAAATGACTGGACTAATATGGGAAAGTTTATACAACTCGTCTGGAGGCATAATGCTACTTACACATACCTCCGATTGCTGTTTATTTTTTAAATGAAAATATTTTTTTGTTTTAAACGTTTGCGGTTTATGTGGTTTCCTGTTTGAAATAGTTTCGTCAGTCATTCAAATTCACATTGGTAGATGTCTCGATGTTTTATTTCACAGCTGACTCTGACTTTTCTGAAACAAAACAAAGCCATGCGCTTTGCGTCTTGTTTATTTCTCCCCACTCTGTACATGTCAATGGTTAAATGTTGTGTTGCGATTGCGTCGCATATGCGAGCAATTTCTACTAAAAAGTGATAACAGCAAATAATAAATAATATTCTAATCGCTAATATGCCATTTATTTCCAAAGACTGGAGATCACCAGGCGAGGAATGGGTTAAAACTGATGAAGGCTGGGAGAAGAAACGCGTCCTGGAATGTATGGGACAGCTGACACAAAGCCAGAGGTACTGGACGGAATGATATTCTTACATACAAATCGATATGGCTAAATTCATAATACGATACATTCCATTTAATAAAAACTTTTGAAACTTCCACTATCATCCAGCAATTAAATAAAATACTTATTAAATATCCCTTTGACATTTGTTTCTTTTCTGCAGATGGTCATCATTGAATAATTGTAGCTCAAATATTGCGTTTCAGCAATCTGAACAATGGTAAGTATTAAATTTAATATTACGAAATTTATTTATAAAATACCTAGTTAATTTGTTATGATTATGGAAATAACTTTTAATTTTCTCATCAATTTCTAATTATGTACAATAAAGTTCAATGAACTGTACTCCATTGTGTTACAAGTCTTTGTGTTATGACTTAAATATAAATGTTACGAAATTTTGTTTTAAAAATATTGATTGATGAATTTGTTTTGGTTAACATTAATGCAATCACATTTTATAACAATGATATCAAAATTTTTCTACTAATCTTTACAAGAATTTAACAATGTTTTCAATTGGAAGGATGCCAATTATGATTTATTCTAATTTGAGTCATTTAATTTTTTTTTTAATTTATAGGCAAAATAGTATTGAAAATAATGAGCTTGTTAGTGATAGTACAAGTAATAATGTACCACCCCACTGCCACATAACAATCAAGTGCACTCGAGAGGTAATTTCTTAATAAATTATAATAATTATTCTGTAAAAAGAAGTATAAATATATATATATATATATATATATATATAATAAATGAAACTAGAATCAAATTAAAATATAAGTGAAATAAGCGCCTAATAGGTTCAGCAGTATATATATAATATACTATTTTTCGTATTACAATACGAAAAATAGTATTTAATATATATATATATATATATATATATATATATATATATATATATTAAACTATAACATAGATTTCTCCAACCCAACAATTTTACATTTTGGAGAAAACGTAATTGAAAGAAGATTTTATGCAATTGCATAACGATAGAGTTATAAACAATCTTTTTGACATTCCTGAACCAAACAAACTTGTGGTTTCCAAATTTCTTAAAAAATGACGCCATCGCTTCTTTAATTTCTTGTAAAATTTGAACATATGTTATTAAGAACTGCTATTATCCTTCGAATAGTCAATACATAGTTTCGACAACTGATTAAAAGTTATTCATGGTTATTTATGTATATTGTTATTTGTAATGTTAAAACAAAAAAGAACTAGCTGTACGTGGAATTCTGTCTTAAGGCAATTAAGGCATCGTGCCTTGAGCCAAATTGCTGGAACTTCCCGTACCGTAACGAAATGTTCGAGGAATACTGAATGTTTTCAAATAGATTATTATTAATATTGTAACATTGTCTAATATTTATAAGAATTATATAAACTGAATTGCAGAGTTGAAATTATTTGTAAAGTATATTAGAACTATAGTCAGAATTAAAAATAAAATCTGAAATATTTTCGATATACAAAAAACTAAAAAAAAAAGTTGAAAAAAAAATCAATTTTGTTAAAACAAGCAGGAAGTTCTTTGAATCATTCAAATCGGACGCTTAGTTCCCTCAAAAACTACAATTTTTTGCACATTTAGCTCTGTATCTCCGAAACCGCTGGACCTGCCTTTGCCATAAACTAATCACCACTTCTGCCTGTCATTACAAATTGAATGTTTTTTGGATCATTCAAATCGGATGCTCCGTTCTCTCAAAAACTTAATTTTTATTTTTTGCACTCTTTGCTCTTTATCTCCGTAACTGCCTTTGCCAAAAACTAATCAGCACATCTCCTTATCGATAGGAATCGAATGTTTTTTGAACCATTCAAATCGGTTGATCCGTGCGCCCGAAAACGTGGACGAAAAATTGTATCCATACATACATACACACACACACACATCCATTTTTTTAAGTATGCCAAAATGTTCAGAAACCTTCAAAACGTCGAGAAATGTAAAAATTTTCGATTTCGATTTTTGGACGATTACAATAACTTACCCTACGGGAAGTTAATAAATATTATACCACTGTGCAATTGCAATTTTCAATAAAATTTCTTACATATTATTTATTTTTGTAAATAAGACATAAAAGTCTTGATTAACAAAAATAAATTATAACAAAAAATAATATTATTTATTTAGTTGTAATTTTTATAGTTATATTGATTGCCACTGAATGAAGGCTAAGATGCTAGCCGAAACGTAAGGATTTTAAATATATTTCTAAAAACGTTCATACTATTTTTTATTGATGTAACGCCCGATGTAAACTCAAATAAAATATATTATATCAACATCAAATTCGCCCCTAGGGTTCTCAGCGACTGCATGCCTTTTTTTTCTAGCATCATTTCTTTTTTTTATTTTATTAAAATTAGTATTTATTTTTTATTTCAAGATTGCTGGATTCAATGGTCTCGGGGAGGCTGTGAGAAGGTTAGACTTCGTAAGCGCAGTGCGAGATGTTAGACGTTTTCATTACATTTGCGCATTGCTAAGGCTGCTAGTTACCAATAGAGGACTGACGGGGCTACCCGGAGGAGCACAGAGATTGTTACTAACTATGTTAGAGGAAGTTGCTACACAAGGTAGATCATTTAAAGACTATTTAAATTATTATACAATATCAGATGTGTATTTATGTATATTTCAATAGGGCATAGTTTTAAATCAGTTGAATATGGAATTTTTTACCATTAGTATAATTATGTCATAATTCATCGAGTTCCACTCTTGTTCTAGTGAGTTCCAGTCAACAAAATCTCCATGTATTACGTGGATTACTTTTGCAATTACGCTCACTAGCTGAACAAGAAAGAGGATCTTGCTGGGGCAGACCCCTAGGATCTAAAACATTATGGGTTGAACATCTTAACACTATCCAACGAATTTTGGATATAGGAAATCAAATTCAAATACGTGAAGTGGGTTTCATTCTCATTATATATTAATATTTTTATTTATATTCATTTTATAATTAATATTATAGCCTGGTCCAGAAATAAATCCTAAGCTACACAACATGCCCGAAGAATGTGTTAGAGAAATTTTATTAAGAATTTCTGATCATCGAGATCTAGAGGTAAATTAATTACTTAAATATCATCAAGTTTTTTTATCATGCACTTCAAAAGTATTTATTCTCAAATATGTTTTTATATTTTCATTTATATCTTGATTAAAGGTAAAATTTGTCTAACAATGTCTAAGAGAAATTCGATTTGATAATAAAACATTATTTGTTGTTATATTTTTCATGGCAAATACCTAAAAATATGCTGTAATTTTCATATAAAAGGTCTGACTATTTTTATATAATAAACGCAATTAACTAATATTATTTGAAACAATGTTGATTCCAATTTTATAATGATCAGGCTAGTTCTGCTGCTTGGGGTGTTATGGCAGCTCTGTGTGGAGAACAAAGGATTTGGCGTGAATTAACAAATTACCATTTCACTTCCCAGCAAATAGATTTTATGGCAGAAAAAAAGAAAATTGTACAAGACAAAAATACTGATTGGCAGAGACTCTACCATGCATTGAGGAGGTTAGTTTCAATATAGTTTATATTATGTCATTATATATTATATATATATATATATATATATATATATATATATATTTAATTCTTCTATGCGTCAAAAATTACCGAAGAAGTCTAGAAGTGAATTTAGGGTCTGTGAAAGTCAACCGTATAACATGTCTAGATGAGAAGAGTTTTTTTTTTAAAAACCTTTTCATTTATTTTATTTTAATTTAATAGTTTTTAAAATTCGTGCTTTGAAAATTGTATAGTAAGTGGTCCATTTTATTTTCCATGTTTTTTGTTTTTTTTTTTCAAGTTATTTGTATGCATTGAAGATGGGTCACATCAGGACAATACAGGAAACATTTGACAATGAAACATTTTACTTTAATAAAATAGTTTTAATTAATAGATGGAAGCCCAAGAACAACTTTATTATATATATATATATATATATATATATATATATATATATATATTGATAGTTTTGTCGATGTTGATACATATTTGTAATATTTTTGCAGCCCAACCGTCGAATTAAAAAAAAGATTAAATAACAAAATTATTTATTCCATTAAAAGTTTCGACACTTGATGTGTGTCATCATTCAGTAATCTAAAAAAAAACATATAACCTAAATACACAGTTGATGATAAATATAAATATATAAAAGGAGGAAATTATACATACCAAACCAGGAAAAACAACAGAAAGCATTAATTATGACTTACTAACTGTATTGAATTACTTTTCATGAAATTAATGATTACTTTGTAACTGTCATGTAAGAGATGAGAGGAATTACGTTTGTTCACACAAGAAGTATTAAGGGATATATCCCTTAATACCCCACTTATATCCCTTAATACTTCTTGTGTAAACAAACGTAATTCCTCTCATCTCTTACATGACAGTTACAAAGTAATTATTAATTTCATGAAAAGTAATTCAATACAGTTTTAGAATCTTTTGTTCGTTATATTTCTTCTCTGTTTCTCTTTCCCCTTTCGTTTCTCGCAACTCTCACCCACTCTTCTATTACACGTGCGTGTCTACACTGCGTTGTACTTTTAACCTTGAACAGTGCCCACAATGCAATGCTATCAATAACATCAATATAGGAGGGCAATATGTGCTCCTCCTATTTCTCGTTTGTTAATATAATAGTATTTTATTATTTTACACAAATTTAGTGTTCAATCAATTATACATCATAATTAATGTTTTCTGTTGTTTTTCCTGGTTTGGTATGTATAATTTCCTCCTTTTATATATTTATATTTATCATCAACTGTGTATTTATGTTATATGTTTTTTTTTAAATTACTGAATGATGTCACACATCAAGTGTCGAAACGTTTAATGGAATAAATAATTTTGTTATTTAATCTTTTTTTTAATTCGACGGTTGGGCTGAAAAAATATTACAAATATATATATATATATATATATATATATATATATATATATATATATATCTTGATAGTTTTTTCGACGTTGAAACATATTTCAAAGTAACTAGCAGCCCATTCGTCGAAATAAAAAAGGTTTTCACCTTTTTTATTTCGACGAATGGGCTGCTAGTTACTTTGAAATATATATATATATATATATATATATATATATATTTCGCTCTATGCAGAACGTTCGGCCTTCGCGAGGATATGCAATATGCGGAAACGCTATCGTTGTGCCGGCATTGCCGCTGCCTTTTCTGGCCGTCCGCGGGTCATCCCTGCATAGCGGACCAGAGCCCCGAGTTCCGCGCCCGCATAGAAGAAGCTGGAGGCCCGCTCACGCCTCACCCTGTTCCGCCAGCTGCGTTCCTTAAATTTTTCTCGTTGTGAAACAATACTCGTTAGATGTTTTCACTTATCAAGGACTGTAATTCTATAACTGACTACTCGAGGTCACATGAAAAAAATTGAATGGGTGGAGATATAAACAAAAATAACATTTGATCTTTTAAGGGTATATACTTGTATGGGCTTCAAATGAACCTATTTTACTAAATCGCGGCTGTTTTATAATTTACTTCAAGATTCAGCTCAACAGCATTGATGTTTTTAGAAGAAATAAAATTACTGCGCTGCTATATTTGAATAGATATCAGATATCAAGATCAAGCAATATTGCTTAGTCTAATCAAATCATTGGTAAAAGACTCGTTTTAGATTGAAAACTGAAGCCGTTAATGTAAGACTTATGTTTGTATTGAAATTGTTATCGATAATTTAGAAAGTAATATGCAATAAAAAAATACTCAATTTTATATTATGTGTAATGATGTGCAAATTAATTGAAATGATTACATTAAGAAATTTAAGTACGAAAACTCAATTAATTTCTACATTTTTATTATCGCACATAATTAAAATATATATTTTATAAATTTTTACCAAAATTTGAGTCCGAACAGAGGTTGTGTTATTCGGTATCATAAAGTCCCATTTTTGCCAAATATTATAACTCGATATCATATGATCATTGAGTTACAAGTTTAAACTGCCTGATTCACAATATGATCAAAATCATCACGATTAGAAAAGCATATAGAACTTGATCCAATCAAATAAACATATTTGAGGAATTTAAATTTGATTTTAAACTTATTTTAATTTTGAAGTTTATGATATTTTTGCTTAAATTTATATTTGTGATTGAACAAATTTACACAAATATTACGAGATTGTTAATTACATTTTTGGCAACTAATAGATTTTTATTATAATCTAATAATAGAATATTATAATTATATTATCCTCAAGTTTATTTCTAATTCTGGACAACACGATCTAGAAAAATGCTGAAAATATATATTTATTTTTTTAATAAAGTGTTTTATATCGGCGACTATAGAAATATAAATAACTACATCAGATGATATATAAAAATATGAATAAATAGTTATTATAGAGTGGCGCTATATATTTATAGTGGATAGTTAGTATAGCTATATTTATAAGCTAGTTGTTGTACATTAGAAAAGCTTGTGTAATGTGTCAATGTACTAATATTTCATTCGAAATTGTTAATTGTTATATAAGAAAATTGTACTACATTTCACAACGTTTTTATTTCTTAGCACCAAAATAGAATATCTTGGCTTAGAGAAAGGTGGAATTTTTCCATTTTGTTTTTAATTTAAAAATCTAATCTCACAAGCATTTCTAAACTGTTAATTCGTTGAGAAATGTTTTGCTGTGCGAAGACCTTACCCTTTTCAAATTATTTTAAAGTGGTGTGATTTAACATGCCCATAACATTTTAATATTATTTGCTTTATATTATCTCACACTGAGGAACTTTTAATGAAAGTAGCTAACTTTATGAACAGAACATTGATTGCAGAGTTTTTTTGGCTAATTTATTATTGACAAATATTATTGATAGCATTTTCCATATTATAATTCTATTTTAATTTTGAAGTTAAAGTGAGGTTTGAGTCGCTTTCCAATACTATTTAAATTATTATTGTGATACATCGCTGCCGTACCGCAAGTGGCCGATTTTTATATAGTTAATATCGCAAAAGTGATGCTTAATTCATGTGATCAGCATCTCGCTTTCTTCATAACTATTAAGAAGTAAACAATTAAAAAAATAATATTTTTAAGTTTACATACTTACATGCCGACTGTGAGTGAAAATGCGACTTTTACATCGTTCATGTTTATTTATATATTACTAATTGTAGGTTTGAACATAGGTACATGGACATAAAACTTTAAGTGGAATATTATTATTTAGTTATATCAGCGCATTAAAAATCAAATTATACAAAATACTAAGATAATTAAAATTTTGTATATTCTCATGTTATTATTTAACTAAAACGAAAGTCTAACAATAGTAGTTAGAAGCATATATGTAAAAAAAAAAATAGTTTTTTCCGTTCCGTTAGTATATAGTTTATGAAAAGTTATATACATTTCTGTGCATATATTCTCCATTCAGTTCCTTCAAATTATTCAAAAATAAACTGTGATTTCATATGGTACTTTTAAATACATAGTTATTAAGTTATGATTAAGAAAAACTTCAATCTCATGCGTACCAAATAGGAGTAAATATTATAAAAAAAGTCATAATGTATTTTTTGACTATTTGTATTATCGTACAATACTAGTTTTCATTGAATAAGCCTTCGACTTTATGAAAACAATTTAAGTGTGCAGCATGTTGTGTTATTATTATAAATATCAAATTAAATAGATTTAAGTAAAATGCAGCATAAATTAAATTTTCTATTAATATATCAAAAGTAATTCTCATTACTTTGATCTTATTACATTGTTTTTTTTTATTTAATTAGTGGTGAAGGACTTTAATTAGAAATATTATTTATATTGCTTTTATATTATTGATGTGACTATATATTTTAAAAAGTAATAAATCATGTTATATTATATTTTTGATTACAACATAGTATTATAAATTTCTGAATAAAATCTGATTTAAATAATTGTCCTATTTGAATGTTTCATTTTTCTATTTTGAATTATGAGTGATAGGAAAAGTTCATTTTTTTAAATTAATCTTATATTAAAATATACTTAAAAATCTAATTGATGTTTATACTAGGCAAATAAAATTAATCGTGAGTATGTTAGTGGATATTCGAAATCACTAAATTACTTCATCAGATTTGCCTAGTTTCAGTATCTGTTCACCAATGATTTAAAAATGACTAAAAACAATATATTTTATTGCGGAAATAGTTGTACTTATTTTTCTAGTTAATTTTATTTATGGTTCGTATAATTTAATTATTATAAAAAAGAATTTTTAGTGATAAATATATAAAATATGAAAAATTTAACTTTTTTTTTAAAAGCATTTCACCCAAAAAATATTCTATTGTTCAAAAATATATCTTTATTACAAGATAATTAAATAAAATAACAAATACCTATTATCATGAAACGGTATAACTATATTTCATTTTCTCCTATGTTGCAAATTTTTATATGCCTCTATTGCTGCATTTCGCTCTTCTTCAAGCATTTTTTGCACAGGCGCCGAAAGTTTTTTACGTTTCACGGTATTGGAAGATTTAAACTTTATATCCGCTTGTGTTGAATTTTTGTTAGCATTAATCTGAAAATTATATTTTATAATCATGTTCTTAAATTTATGATAAACTTGCATGTAAGCATATTTACCTTGTTTATATTTTTTGGGAACTTTGTCAAAGTTGGTGGAGCATCAGCAACTTCTCCAAATTTCACTTCATCCTTAAAACTATTGAAATCAAGAAAATCTTTATCCTATAAAAATATAAATACAGACACTAGTTTTCAACAAATAAATTACAAAATCTATTGTAAATAAAAAAGTAACCTGTTGTTTTTTCAATTTCTTTGCTTTCAGCTTTTCTCTCCTTTTTTGTGATTTTGTTAGTTTTGGTATATTATCCTCTTCATTTGCTTTTTTACCTTTTTTTACTTTTTTTGACTTCTTTAATAATTCATCTATTTCATCTTTAGGTTTTTTCTCCAATCCTAATACCTGCAGTATTGACATATAATGTTTATAAATATAGAATAATATATCAAATAAAATTAGAATTATTACCTCTCCACTTTTATCTCTTATAATATCAACTTTATATTTCTGTTCAAATTTATGTGCGTTTAGATATTCATGAACCATTGAATTTACACGGCTTAGAAACCTTTTATTGCTTTCACCCAATTTTCTTTTAAATTCTGGTACTACTTTCTCAGGCTTGCCCAGAGGCTTTTTAATAATAGACTTAGTTTCTTTTTCTATAAAAGAAAAAATAAAGCATTGGAGATATATTAAACCAAGCCCTGAATACATTTTGAAAATAAATATTTATAATAAAAACCTTTTTTGATGTTGAGTTTCTTATTTTTGAGATTACTAGCTTTGAATTTCTCTTTCAATTCGATTATGCGAGCTAGACTTTTAGGAATAGCTTGGTCATCAGGATCCTGAGGAGGCGCATTCACTTTATTTTCAAGACTAGAAACAAAGTAATAAAAATCAAAATTTTCATATATGTAAAATATATATTATATATATATATATATATATATATATATATAAATTAATGAGATTAATATAGTAAATAAAATTATGTATTATATCATGCCTTTTCTCCTTCTTTGCATTTTGTTCTAAAATATCTCTAACTCCTCTGTGCTTTCTTCCTGGTATCTTACGACCCATGATTAATAAATCAAAAATATTATTGATAAAGAATATAAGAAAATGAGTTTTACTTCAAAATTATTTAAGTAAAAATAAACTTTAATTTGAATTAGGTGTATTTTAAGGTTATAAACAAGGATATACAAACGCACGAGGTGAGTATGGAAATGTCAAAGTGACAGAACAGTTTCTGTTTCACTTATTCGCCGCTTGAAGCGCTGCGAACATATGGAGAGACATTTTTATTGCCTTGTTAGCTCACTATTTACATTTTGGAAGAATTGTCAAAAAATCGAACCTCTAAATGTTAATTGCAAGCATATTGTTTTAATTTCATAAATATTTGTTTGGATAGAAAATGGTTTTCTAATTCCTTACGTATGATTACTAATGCTTTTCAGATAACTTACAAGTATCATTGACATTTTGACCTTTATTAAAATATTGTTCAAAAATTGGTAAGTTATGCTACATATTAATGCTTTTATTTTATTTAGTTACATAAATTTTAGCAATAAATTGTCAAGCAAAATTGTTCGAATAGTATATAATTAATAAATCATAATCTTTTTTATTATCGAATTTTTTTTTACGCGTTTTTATTTATGTATGTGCAGTCAGTACAAATTCAAGATATTTTACGACATTTTGAACATATTTATTAAAAACAAATTTCAGATGGAATAATGAGTAGTCAGCACCAATACTTAAATGCTGATTTCGAACAAAATAAATTTGGCGAAATAGATCATGTTGGTAAGCATTATTTGTTTTTTTATTTATTAAGCGAAAAGTTACGCTTTGTCACAATTTGTTTTTAACTGTTATATTTCATGTATAACTTTTAATATTGACAGTCTTTTTTAATATTTAATTTGATAAGTTTATGGAAATACAGGAATACCCCGTTTAACGCGGAATTACGTTCCATCAAAGTAGAGCGCAATGCGAAATAGCGCTAAACGAGACTATCTATACATGAAAACATTAGGATTAGGAAAAGACGCCTAGGAAATTGATTCGGTATTATATTTAAAAAGTATGTTTTTTCACTAAAAATAAAATCTAACATTTTTTGGTTAAAGCCTAAATTAATACCACATTATTTTTTCTTGCAAAAATAAAAACAAAATATAAAGAACAACTCGAATATTTTTCAAAAAACTAACTTCTTAGTTAGTCATATTTAGTTAGTCTTCTGCGTTTTCAGTGTTCTGCCTTTTTGTGACAAAAGCATCTATTGTCATTTGCCTTTTTTGCATTGTACTGTTAAAAGTTCTTCATAAATGAATAAAGCACCTATAACACCACACCTTTCTTTGGAGCTCTTGTCAAAATTTTGTTCAACTTTAATGAATTGATTCATTATTTCAGTTTTGATAGACAAACTCCTTTTTACAAACGCCATCGAAAGTTCTTTTTGCTCTTCCTCTGAATCATTGCCGTCAATATTTTTTGTTTTCTTCTTGTTCAGTTCATTCCTTGAGCTCATCATTAGAAAGACTGCGCTGCTTCTTGAATTATTTCTTTGACATCTTCCTAATTTATCCCTTGAAAACCTGGGTTGAAATAAAAGAGTGCTAAACCATACAGCATTAAATGGGGTATTACTGAACACTGAAAATATAAAATTTCAATATAAGCTTATTTTGATCTGGACATTTTATTCATATTAAATTAAGTGGATAACAAAGGCTGTATAATTTTTCTGATGCTTTTTGGATTATTTCAGAACTTCTTGGCCAAAATCTTAGCAACCTATGTTGTTCAGATAATTATTCCGATGTAATTTTAGTTGTAGAAGGTGAAAAAATACCATCTCACAAGGTGCGATTGTTATTATTAATTTCTTTTTATTGCTCCATTATATTAAATGTTAAAACTGTCTTTAAAGGTCATTTTAGCAAGCCGCAGTGAGTTTTTTAGGGCACTTCTGTTTGGTGGTTTAAAGGAATCTAGTCAGGTAATGAAAAATTATTTATAGGAGAAACCTCTTTTTCTTCATGTATTTTTCTTTTTATAGGAAGAAATTGTTCTCAAAGAAGTTCCAATAAAAGCTTTTCGGGAATTGCTTAAATATATTTACACAGGTATGGTTTTTTACTACTTTTTATGTTAGATTCTATTTATTTAAATATTATTTTGCTGTTTAAGGTCACTTATTTCTTCAAACATTGAATCATGGAACCATATTAGATATTCTGGGACTAGCACATGAGTTTGGTTTTATTGAACTTGAAATATCAATATCAGATTATCTTCAGAAAATTCTTAACATTAGAAATGTTTGTTTTGTTCTAGATGCTTCTAGGTCAGTTATTACTTTAAAGTAATCAATCCATAAGTTTAAGTTTCATAGGAATATGATTATTATTATTAATTTAATTATTTCAGATTATATGGCTTATCTCGTTTGACTGAAATTTGCCAAACATTTATGGATAGACATGCCAAATATATTTTGGAAGATGATTCAATTATGCAGTTATCTTCAGTTAGTTTTTTTGTTGTTGAATGTTGACTTTTTTCATAAAATATATGATTTTTTTTTTATTCTAGGAATCATTACATGAAGTTTTGTTAAGAAATTCCTTTTATGCTCCTGAAATTGATATATTTCGTATGGTTATGAGGTGGTGTGCTAATAATCCGGAAAAGAATGCTGAGGTATCTTGTGTTAACTACAAATAAAAATGTCAAATATATTTTAATCAATAAAAATGGTTTATTGTAATCAGCTTTACCATTTAGCTATATAGCAATGCATTTACAATAACTTTATTTTTAATTATAGGAACTTATCAGTTGTGTAAGATTATCACTAATAAAACTTAAGGATTTATTAACTCTCGTACGGCCAATAGGAATTGTGAAACCAGAAAAGTTACTAGACGCCATTGAAGAAAAAGTAAATGTTCCTGATGTTTCTTTACCCCACAGGGGAATGTTAGGTATGGACAAGTCTGGATTATAATTCAAATAAATAAGATCAACAACATTGTATTGTGTGACTTAGTATATTTTATTATTACTTTTATGAATTCTAGTTTTAGATGAAAATGTTTCCACTACAACTTTGCATGCAAAAGTTCTGCAAGGAGAGATGAGGTCTGCCTTGTTAGATGGTGATACTCGAACCTATGACATGGAAATGGGTATTGAGTTTAATCTATTTTTATATTTTTGTTATTATGTTTTGTAGTTAATTTAGTTATTTATTGAGCTAAATGAATTCAATAATTCACTTTATTTGTAATGTTATTTTGAGATGCAGGTTATACTAGACATGCTATAACTGATGCAGAGGATCAGTTCATAGTTGTAAAACTTGGTTGTAGATATATAGTAAACCACATTAAAATGCTCCTTTGGGATAGAGACACTCGGTAATTAATGATTTATAGTAAACATATTTGATTAGCCCCCTAAAATGGTTTACTCTTATAGAGCTTATTCATACTATATTGAAGTATCACTAGATCAAGAATCTTGGGAGAAAGTTATTGATTATAGGCGCTATTTGTGCAGATCTTGGCAATATTTGTATTTTCCATCCAGGGCAGTTCAATATATCAAAATTGTTGGAACAAATAATACAGTTAATAAGGTATTTTGCAATTATTTATTTTTATATATATATTGAATCACAAATCAATGAAAATTTATTCATTAATACAAATATTTCTGAAAATTTTTAAAAATGTATTGTTCTAATGGTAAATTATGTGGTATGAGTATTCATAAGTAAACGATTTCACAATTTATGTAGAAAATACTCTACAATTTTTGATGGATTTGAAACCAAATTCTGTGTGTCATATAAAGATATCAAAATTTTTGTTTGTTAGGTGTTTCATCTTGTGTCATTTGAGATAATGCACAGCTCTTCCGTTCCCGAGTTACAAAATGATTTAGTTGTTCCCATAAAAAATATTGCTACATCCGAGTTTAGTGCTACAGTTGTTGAAGGTGTCAGGTGAGGTCTCTTTTCCTTTAATAATATGGAATATTATAATGAAATTATTTTAACATACAATGGTAACCCAAGATACGAGTTTAAATCGTTTTGTAACCACGCTTGTAACTCGAATTTTTTCCATATAAAAATATTGAAATGCCTTTATCTTTTTTAAGAACTGTGGTTTTTGTTAAGTTTTTTTTAATATTAAAATTTAATTTAGTGTTTATTAAATTATTGTTTTTTCCTGTCACATATGATATTGCAGAAATGAGTTAGACATGTTTTGTTGTACAACTCCCATGCCCATGCTATTGCTACTTTTTTAGGGTGATTTTTATTCACCAAACTTTAGAGTTCAGAAAACTGCTTATAAATTATTGTAAGGCTTTCTTCTGGAGTTATACTTTTTATCAACTTCTTAACTTTTTATCAACTTAAACACAGTACATATCTATGATGACCATCCTCATCTCTAATGCAAGAGACATGGTCTTTTTGTTTGGGCCTATGTTTATAAAAGTACATAATATTTTGAAAATGTATGAAAACCAAAAAGCGCGAACTCAATATATAATTATTAATGTATAGTAAAAATTTTGAACTTAAATATAAATGTAAATCGTTACTTCACAATTAATATTAATATTGTAATAATTAACTATATATTAATTTATTATCAAAAAATAGCCAAATCGTGTGTTGGGTCACTCATAAGTAATGGTACCACTATATTATCAATTGTAATTTTGAAGTGGTTACATAAAAATTTTCATTCGTGTTGTGATATTTATTTTACTAACAATCCATGTGTTACAAAATTGCATATCTAGTTTTTTCTCATTTTTAAATTTTTCACACAAATCTAGCAAACATTTTCTAGATATGTTATACATATATATATATATATATATATATATATATATATGTATAACATATACTTAATCATATATATATATATATATATTTGGTATGATTCTGAATTTGATGTTGAGATGTATTAGTAGTAATCGGGCATAACATCAATAAAAAACATGAATTTCTTTAAAAATTTATTTTAAATCCATACGTTTCGGCTATTGAATTGAATTGGAGTGAAAAGAAAAATTTACTCTTTTTATTTTTTATTTTCACTCCAATTCAATTGCTTTAGTTTTTAATTTTATCTTTAGTTCCCACTGAATGAAGGCTAGGATTATAGCCGAAACGTATGGATTGAAAATGAATTTTTGAAAGATATTATATATATATATATATATATATATATATATATATATAAATCCATAAAGCATTCTTTATTGCTATTCAGTGACAATTCTGACCAAATATTAATTGAAATACATTCTTGACAGTCGTAATCGAGATGCTTTGCTCAATGGTGACACCAGCCACTATGATTGGGATTCCGGTTATACATGTCATCAGCTTGGTTCAGGCGCAATATTGGTACAACTCGGTCAACCTTACATTATTGGTTCAATTAGGCTTTTACTGTGGGATTGCGATGATCGTAGCTATAGCTATTATGTTGAAACATCTGTCAACTACGTCGACTGGGAGATTGTCGCCGACAAACGTAAAGAACCCTGCAGGTATTTATAGTTTTTAACATATAAACATTTTCAAGATAGAAGTTGACAATCTTTCATATAGAAATTAAAGTTACAATGCCAAATGTATTTCTTAAATATGTATCGTCTACATAACTGGTTTTTAGTATACCACCAAATTAATGCAATGTAAATCTTAATAATTAGCAGAAAACGCAAAATGTTTCATCTGATATTCAATCGCGAGAGTTACGAATCATTTCTAAAAAATTAAAACACATTCGATCGAAATTAGTTCGTACCGACTAGGTTTTTTTTTGTAAAAATCTGGCGGGCCATTTGTTTGTAATGGTTTAATTTTTTTTTTTTTTATTATTTTGATGAAACTTTGAATGGTGACGTAGGTCATGATCTTGGCAAACATCCTTATATATATTAGACCTATGAAAAGTACGCATCAAAATTTTCTTGTCATAATTTTATAAGTTGCTTAATCTGAATTCTTATTAATCAAATCGATCATTATTTACTCTTAAGGCAAAGCTTTTACTTTAAGGCAAAGCTTTTACTTTAAGGCAAAATAGATGTAAAATCAATATTAAAATAATTAGAATTGTTAGAATAATCCATTCTTCTGCTTTTATTCATATATATAAGAGAACTTACTATTGCAGATCTTGGCAACTGCTAACATTCAATCCACATCCTGTTGTTTATATAAGGATTTTGGGGACACATAATACTGCTAATGAGGTGAATCAAGTTTTTGTTATTCAAATTTTGCTAATTAGATATTATATGAATAATTATCTTGAAGGTATTTCACTGTGTCCACCTAGAATGCCCCGCACAAAATTTGCTTACATCTGCATATGTTTTTAATGACCGTAGTGGTGACGAACAACAATCCTCTCGGCCACCATTAGCAGAAACTGCACAAGAAGCAGAAGAAGCTGCAGCAAATAATAATAATGATTCTGTTGATTTAGTATATGAATAAAAATATGATTGTAGTATTCTATAGATCTTATAAGAATTTGACAAAAAAAGCTTCAGAATGAACTTATGAATTTAAATGATTTGCATTTCAATATATCATATAGCGTTTATTCATCAGATATTATTGACAAGTTAATAAGTGGAAGATTATTAGTTAGATACTGAAATTTCTAGACATTTCAGAAACAAAGAAAAAAAAATATTTAAAAAAAAATTAAGTGCAGCACGTTGCATTATAGGCAGATTTAAAATTTTATTCTAATAAATAGAACGTGTGTTTGTTAATAATAATACATCACATTGCCACAGGTGCTATTGAATATTCTTGTAAATAGATATTTTTCTGTATTATTTTGCTTAAGAAACCAAAAGATGTACATATATATATTTTTTCCTAAATGATTTATTAATAAAACATTATAAATAATATAATATAAAATATTAAATATTAAAACCAGAAATGTAGTTTTTAACTCATCAAGGAAGTTAATTATTTATTACAACAATGAGTTAAACTGAATTTATGTTAAACAATGGCGAATCAATTGTATTTCAATTTTGGCATTTTTTTTTAAGATTTTAGCCTTTTTTTTTTCAAATAGTTTAAACATTTATTTGAAAAAATAAATCTTTTTATATTTTAAAAATTTTGAAAATATTTTTTTTTTTTTAAATTTTGAATAACAAATTTTTTTCTGAAATTTTTTGGGACGTGGTGTTTTCTCAAAATTTTCTCGAGCTATTGTGTCCACTGTATTTCAAATGGAGTAAAATGTCTTTAAAAAAAACTTTGATAATAATAGTCCATAGTTTTGACTTCACATCATTTCCAAATTGAGATATTGTATTGAAATTGAAATATATGTTGTAGGTGGCTAAATGCTCAAGTAAGCGAGGCCAATAAAATAAAATAAAAAAAAAAATACCGTCATGACTTGAATGAATGAATAATATGAATTTGTTGTTATTACTGCGAATTTAAATATTTTAAATTTTTCTATCATATAGATTTTTGCATGTAAGTAATCCATGTCGAGAGGGATGTTAGGAATATTTTGTATGTTTTATTTATATTATAATATTTTTATTTCTTTTGTGAAATTTTAACAAAATAAATTTATGTGCCTATTGAAGTTTACAAATTTTGATTTATTAATTATATATATATATATATATATATATATATATATATATATGTAATTGATAAAAACAATCCATATAATAAAAATAGAAAGAAAACTATGCTAAACTAAATTGCTGCTAAAATGTTGATACTAAAAACTATGTTACCAGTCTATATAAATATATGTTCTATGATCTATGGCTAATTTCTGTTGTAAATATTTTTAAAATAAATCAACAGTCATTGCTGTCTGGAAGTTGGTTGAACAAGTGTCTTTGTAATAATAATAAATTTACAAGTCATAAATGTAAATAGATTTAAAGTTAAAGTGTGTTTTGTGTGATAATATGATTTAGGTAAGTACAAAATAATGTTTTATATTTTAATTTTAAGGCAAAGTGGCTCATGTTTATGAATTCATAAATATTTTGGCAAACTGTTGCGCATAATTCTAAACAAATATTTGTTTCAACACATTATGATATTGATTCAGGCCCAAAACAATGATTAATTGAATGAACATGAATTTCATTAAACGTCAAAATTGAGTTATATTGTTTAAGGTTAAACGTCAAACGTCAAAATTGACAGTTGTTTTCAGGTTAAAAATGTCTGTTGTGACGGGTTTATTTACAAATGTGTTTTCAAATGTTGGTAAAAAAAATCCGTGCATAGAAATATTTCAAAAGTGGAAAATACTTTTTTTCATTGTTCAAACAAAAGGTGTATTTTTTATACAAGGAACGTGTATTAATTGTCGTGTTAATAATATTTATTAAAAGCGCAGTTGTTATCAATAATTCAATATTTACATCATAAAAATGGGTCAAAATACATAAATGCTCTTTGTAAGTAATGTTTTATTATTAATTAGATCTAAAATTTCATGAATTAGTTTACAAAAAATTATTTGTTTGTCTAATGTTAATGAAATAATTAGGAAATTTTCACAAAATTAAATTGCCAACATTTTTTTTAATATTTGAATACTTTAAAATATAATTCAAAAGCAGAATAATGAATTTAGCGAGCTCACAGTATAATTATGCTGTATAAGATTTATGAATCATTTACCATATTGAATTCATGGGCTATCCACGGATTTTATCAAACAAATTTTACTCAAACGCAATCAATATGCTATTTTGGGACATTTTTTTACATTTTGTCAAATATTTTGGAAATTTTATTTTAGACACTTTTATATGTTTATTTTAGTATAAACTAGACAAAATTTGCTGGAATGTGCTGTATATTGTTATATTCACTTTTATATTAAAATTTTGAATAATTTGTAGCTGAAGCGCAGATTTGAGTTTGATAATTGGCTATTTATTTATTTATTTATTTATTTATTTATTTATAAGCAAGCAGTAATCAATAATAATAGATATTATTTCAGACTCTTGTCAAGGATATAGGTGGATTTTGGACGTTTTTTTACATTTTGTCAAATAACTTTAAAACTATGTTCAGAACATGTTTATTTGTTTATACTAGTATAAACTAGATGAAATTTACTAACAAATAGTATAAATTGTTTTATATGCTTGCATATCAAAATTTTGAACAATTTTCAGTTGAAATGCAAATTTAAACGTAATATGTAGATTTGAAACTTTTTTTGTACTTTTTTTCAAATAACTTTTAATTTTCTTTTCGGGCACGTTAATTTGTTTACATTAGTAAAAACTATATCAAATTTACTAGAATTTAGTACAAACTCGTACATATAGCTGGATACTAAAATTTTGTATGGAACGCGAATTTGTGCTTTGTGTACATTTTATCAACCAACTTGAAAATTTTGTTCTAGGCATTTTAATTTATTTATATAAGTAAAAAATAGATAAAATTTAGATTCATAAATCATAAATAATCTTAAAAGCAAAGACTGCTATTCATGATTTTGTTAAAACTACAGTGATGATATCAAATTGTTCGATTATAATAAATGATTTATTTGAAGTTGAATCCATGGATACTATCCATGGATTGTTTTAAGAGCTTTTTTTTTAACTTTGGAAATGATATCAAGTTATTCGATTAACATAAATGATGTACCTACAAATTATTCAAATGTTTTTATTTTTTCACCGAGTTTTTGTGGTTTTACTTTCAAATAAAATATTCAAAGCTTACTTATTGTTACTAGTCTGGTATTAAGTAACAAGTAATCTTATTTTAAATGTATATCCTTAGAATGAATATTTATTCTTTTCACAGGTACTTATGCACTTATAGGAACAGGAACCATAAAATCTGGGTCTCCCCTATACTAAAGGAAATTTATGATCAAGAACTTATTGGACAAAGTTTTTGGATGATTTTTTATTACACCAAGGACGAAATCATCCTGTTTGATGAGCTTTCAGGGCGTGTTCCACTGGAAAACAACAAAAACTTTGGTTGCTACATCGGAATTTTAGCAAAAAAATTGATTTGTTTTCGCTATTTTGGAAATGTTTTGACTGATTCCAAAAGATTTTCGAACGCTGATTTCAAAAATGCTATCTATTTTAGGATAAACCCACATACACCCCCCGAAAAATCGAAATCTTTGGTTGCAAAATCGGCTTTCTTCGCGATTTTCAAAATGTTTTGATTGGTTTCGATTGATTTTGGGACGCTGATTTCGAAAATATTATCCGTTTTTGGATAAATCCACATACAACCCCGAAAAATCGAAATCTTTGGTTGCAAAATCAAAATTTTACTAATGAAATGAAAACTTTTTTTTGCGATTTTTAAAATGTTTTGACCGATTCTGATAGTTTTCGAGTCGCTGATTCCGAATATGAAATTTTTGGGAAAAAAAATTCTCCTGCCCTTGGTACCAATTTGAAGTTTGAAAAATCGACAACTTTGAAGCTGATTTTAACTATGAAGACGATGATAAATTTGTAATTTTTTCGGTTTGGTATAAAGATTGTACTTTAGTCTACACAAAGCATTAATTAAAATTATTACTTTCATTCATTAAGGGCCTCAAAATTGCATTTGAAAGTCACGATTTTGGCCAATTTTGGCTGCCCCTGATAGACTGTCTTTTGAACGAAAAAAAAAAAGATTTTTAAATTACACCAAAGTAGGTTTGGTTTACTGCTAACCAGGCGTCAATATGAGTTTATTCAAAATCCTTCCTCCTACTACTATTTCTTATATATTTATATATATATATATATATATATATATATATATATATATATATATATATACATACATACATATGCATATACATGCGTATATATATACATTTATATTTATATATATGCACATATATATTATGTCGATTTTTGTAATGCTGATACTCAATAAATTTAATTATTTATCTATATGTCTTATTTATTTACAGAGTTAGAAAAATTATTGAATATAAATTTTTTTCAGATAAATGGGGTTCGATCTGTCGATCCTCGAATTGCCATTCTGGCCTAAACCGTATCTTTACGACCTCGGCCATTCGCACATTTGACACAGAACATTTTTAGGAAACTTATATCTTTCAGTTTGGAAATAACACTTTATATTTTTACAAAAGACTACGGTTTTTTAAAACCAATTGGCCGAGATCGTTAAGTGACCACTACGGTTACTCAGCGTGTCTCGGTTCCATTCCAGAAGAGGCACAAAAAATCGAATGTATAGTTTTTCATAATTATCAAATATTAGTTCAAAATATTAAATTCAGGTGTCGCATTTCGACCTTGACACTTAGAATATTTCTGAAAAACTCAAGGTTCGCACTTGACTGTAAGAGAGATACATAAAAAGAAAAAAAAAAAAATAGAGGAAGCACTGGGGAAAGAGAGGGGTAGAGGCAGATGATGAATAAGAGAGATGTGTATGATACATATTCTTTATTAAAATTCAATATTAATACAATATAGGAATAAAAATAACTTTTATCATCAATAACTTAAATAGCCGAGCGGTTTAAGTGACCGCATACTCGGTGAAATCGCTCTGGAGGCAGGCACAAGGTGAGACGGATCGAGTCCAGCTGAAGGCGACGACGACCAACTCTGAAGCAGAAAAAATGGAGCAGTGCTGGTGGCTGGCTGTTGGCGAGCGCAAAGGGTCCTGAAACGAACACACCAAGTGATGGTCAACCTGAGGTCCATGATGCGAGAGGTTACACGCAGAGAGACACATTGCGGAAGATGCATGCCGAACCCAAAAATCTACCCAAAAACCACAACATGCGAAAAAAACACCCAAAAAAGGAAAAAAAAGGGAAA